ATTTTTTTAATAATAGTTCATTCTTGTGTCCAACAATATGCGATACACATCTGTCAAGTCTAACAACACCTAGTCATGGAGTTAAAGTTTAAATGGTAAAAAAAAAAATTATACACTTTTAACGCGTGCAATTCAAGTACAGGAGAGTACAGGGGATGGGCTTGAACCTAACCTATGGATATAATATATTTAAGAGGATATTTTCGTTTGTGTAGGTACTTGTAGTCCATGGGAATTGGAAACATGGTTGACCATAATTTTGTGTACATGTTGCCACACACACACGTGTATTTTAGATTGTCAGCTCGTTTGCGAGACTTTATATACACCTATCTGACATTATTATTATTATCTGGACTTTATGTGGTGTTATTACAACGAAAGATGCGGTTCGATTCCGGGCTGGAAAAACAACCACACGTCCTATGTAATTTTTGTCCGTGAGAAAACTAGGCGTTTGCGTTGTGACCGGTTTTCTCAAAGAACAGCTATACTTACATATATAATATTATATTCATATACAAATAATAATATAATATAGGACATGTACAACACATATGTGTATACCGTCGTCAACAGTCGACAATCTTGCGGTCGGATCCGCCCGCCGTTTTATACATAGAAAACCTATCTATATATTATATGACGATGATGATGATGATGATGTTATGAACGCAGAGATAGACAATTTTTGTTGTTTATCACTTCTATAATATACCTGCGTGCTTGTTATTTTACTATATAATTCAAATCCCCGCGGTGATGGCGTAGTTCATGGAATATCTTAATGTGGGTATACGCACTTATAAGCCGGTTCGGGTGTATGCAAATATTTAGTTGTAGGTAGGTAAACCGCAGGTATGATTAGGCATTAGCACTACACATAGTACATAACTTGACCAAAATATTGATGCCAAAATTATATCCATTCAGAACACCCGCAATGTGTTGTGTTGATCTTCTTATATCCCATACAAACGAGTTCGACCAGCCAAACCTACTTCTGATCACACCTCCGTGTCTCCCATAATATATTATATTGATAACATCACTACACACTGCTTCGGCTACGGTCCACGCCACCCTTCTGCATTTAAAATCTACTAGTCGAGTCACACATTGGCACTACCATTTTCTGTGGCAATACTTGTTAAGTATTTTTTTTTAGATGTTGCCGCGTGCAAACGACGGCAAAAACGATTAACTGTATCTAAATATATATATATATATATTATTTTGAATTATTATTATTCTTATTATCATTATATGAATCGACCTGTTGTCATGTCTGTCTGGCATATGGCGGCGGTCTTGTATACAGAAAATAGGATGCTCCCAATATTTTTGTTCTCTCGGCATAGTTATGACGTTTTTTTTTTATATATGAAATATTGCGCGTACAGTCTTTCTTTTATAATATTATATTAATATATATGTATATAATATTTGTTGGTACCCCGACAGATGTTTAGCCCTCCGGATGGGACCCAAATACGATGGGAAAACGACCGATCATCGGTCGCGTTGTTGGAGTTTATTAAGAGGCAAAAAGATAAAAAAAAAACGCACTGCTCTCGTCACAGGTATAATGAAGGAAAATAATAAAGGGAAAAAAAATCATATCATAAATACATAAAAAGAAAAATGAATCTGACGGTCATGTCGTTTTACCGTGTAGAGTAATCTCTCCTGATCACTGATCCCAGAAAAAGAATCGCTGTACACATTGTACATAACATATTTTCAATAAAAAAATATATTTGGAACTGCCGCCTGTAGTATAATGTTGTACCATCACTTGATGTATTATATTTTTTCCATTATTTTCATTTTAAATGGTTTGCAGCTGTGGAAAACACATTTTTTTCAAACAGAATATCGCATATTATTACAAAGCAAACAAATATTTACAAAACGTTTTTAATGTCTTCAAAGTGCGTTTCAAATATATAATAGTCAATGGTTAGGTTGGATATAAGATTAGGTTACAGTTGTATCTATTATTTTCCCATACGAAGTATTAATTAAATTTTATACTGCCGCGTGGCAGATAATGAACTATAACATTAAATATTTTCAAAACCTAAAATACACAATGCGTTTCGAGTTGGATAACGCCAAGTTAGGATTCGATTTTTCTACTATGAATTCCAAGTGTGTTTTGACGCTATCGTTTTTGATGACCGAACCGTCATATCATGACGGTCGGCATTTATGACATATTTTAAAATCAATATTGTCTCTTTACACACATATTTAAGTACGAGTTACGCACAAGATCTAGCTACAATTATACAGTATATTAATATAATATTATAGTGTATTTAGTTTGGCCGTGACAAACCGCTTTGGTGTGGGGAACACCTCCTATATATATATATATAATAGTATTGTGTATTGAAATACATAAACCCACAGCGGTTGTCGCCTGGTGGAAGGGAAATGGGCGGAGTGCCGTTGTCACCGCCGGTTGACAACGGTGCACCAATGGCGGTGGGTCTGGTGACAGAGGTTGACCCGCACGAGGGGGAGGCGACAATGTGTAGGTATAAATAAAATACAAGCACAGACAGTGGTGTAGTCCGCACAGTGTGTGTACTTGGATACTTTTATACGCACAACAATAGACTTAAACTACTGTCACCCCCCCCCCTCCCACTCCGTACCATTGTCCCCGGATTTACCGCAGATATATAAATCCCGTCGGATTAAAAATGGGTCATCATTTTTTTTTTTATACCTCGTGTGTGTGTGTGTGTGTTTTTGTTATTATGTCGGTGGAGTACACGGGCTATATAACATAATATAGGGGAGTACGGTATTTTTTTTTTTAATATACACACGCAGTAAGCACACATACAGCGCTCTTGTATTATATATGTATATACACGCGGAAGATAATACCTCGAGGGCACCCTCAGCCATTTATATACCTCCGAAAAACCTTCTCCCCCCAGCCCTGGTTCGTTGCCATCCAGGCCTTATCGCCATTAGTGTGTGTGTACCTACATATAATATTTTCATCATCATCATCGTCGTCGCATCATCATGTGTGTATATATAAACCGGTAGATTATTATTTTTTTTTTTAACAATGACGGGCGAAATATAATGACTGCTGTTACTTCTGCTGCTGCTGCTGCTGCTGCTTGCTCGCTTATATTATATACAGGGGGCACATAATAAACACACACAATGGTTATAGGAGCTGCAGTTTTTAACCTTACTTACAACACATGCACACAGCCTCATCCGAGTATAGGTGGAGTACACGGTTGACAGGTTTCATAATAATATCTAGAATAGTATATATAGTGCCTACTTCACGATTCAATTGTTGACAACCACTCACGAGCACCGCAGCCAGTCAGCGTATATTATATTATATATTTTCATTTTCATTATTATTTATTTTCTTCCTAGCCGAAGGCCGGCCCTGTACATATAGGTACGCCCGCCCAAACGCGGTGACTTAAGACGTTTTTTTTTTTTTTTTGTATTTTTCAACTGTCGACTTCGATGATGTGTATGTGAATAGTGTATATAAAGTGTATATACACCTACATGTCATAAGCATTATAAGAGTACACGTGTGCTTGGATAACGACAACGCGCCACAGTGTATATATATATATCATAATTGTGTGTCATTATATATACTGTAAGATACTACATGCGTACCTATACGGTTTTATTATTATAATGTATAGATTTGTTATATAGAAGTATGTAGTTGTAAGGCACTGCGCGTTAACGAGTCCATCGTTAACGCCGTCCAAAACTAGAATATACTTAAAACATATTATATACCTATGTATATATATATATATTGAAAAATAGCATAACCCCCATGGGCAAATCTAAGTAGAGCTACAATAACATTCCCCCGTCCACCGTCTGTCGAATAATTGCGGTAGCCGTTTATACAAAAAACGAAAAATTGATTTTCAACAAAATTAGGTATAATTAGAGTGAGCAGATCACAGCCCGTTTATCATAACGTTTTGTTAGTATAGTAATCGTGTTCATATTACACGGGCAACCGGTCGACTCGACTCGTTAGGAAGTTAATATAAAGTATTATTGGAAACAGTTAATTAACTGCTAAACACTGTAAGTAAATCAATATAAATTATTTGTAAGCCGCACAAGACAGAGATAAATAGTGCCTAAGTACATTATATTGACAAATGTATATGCGCTCTCCAATGCAATATTGCGAATCATTTGATGAACATACATAATATAATATACTGTATTGTATTTGACGGCCATTTTGTTTTTGGAGGGAAAAAAAGATATCCTGTATTTTCATGATTTATCATATTCTATACCTATACGTGCTCCGAACAAACTAGAGAGGTTGACTGGACAACAATAAGTCGAAATCCGAAGCCGGTTACACTCGAAAAACGTCTTGATGATTTTTAACAAAAAATACTACAGGAAACGCTCTATCCAAATAGATATATTTTATTGATATAATTTGCTTTGTGTGTGTGTGTGCCTTTTCATTCCGGTCGGATTGATTCGGCGACGATCGAACGCGATCTAACGGTCGAACGGATCCGAAATACGCAATTTATACTTAAATAATAATAATGATAATAATATGATCGGTTGTCAAATTAAAAAAAAAAAAATAATAATAATAATAAATCCATTGTGAAGCGCCGGGAAAAATATTATGTATTATATAATACATTTGTATAATAATCCCAAAGCCCATTGTCGTCAGGTCAGGTAGCCGAAAATGATCTAGTCCCTTTATATTATACTTACCGGGTGATCCCACGAGGGGTGGTTTCATCATGATGGTCGTTATTATATTATATATATTGTACATGCGCAATTATTGTATAATATGTAACGCACCGGTAATGATCGAGAGGGATCGAAGCAGCGGTTTATTATATATATATATATATATATATATATAATAACAATAATGGCATTATATATTATATAATAATATCATATTGTGTGTGTGTGTGTTTTAGCCCTGGACAAATTGGGATTCGGCGGAGCGTCACTGGGAAACGGCGCGGTCGAGCCCATCCAACCCAACGTGGCGTTCGACATTGCCAGTCTGGTGTTGTACGGTTGCCAAGCACTGCCCATAAGGCTCAAGATATTGCTGGACCGTCTTTTCAGCGTGCTCCGACAAGACGAAGTGTCGGCCGTGCTCCGGGGATTCGGCTGGACCCACGAAGACTACGCCAGAGGATACATACTCCAGGTAAATAATAATAATAATATTATGATAAATAAATGTATGTGCACCGTCCAAGAGAATTATTCGTTCCACCTAGTTTTTGAACATTTTCCCCAACGCTTTTGGCTTTCTAAATCCATCAACGCGCAACCCTTCGTTGCCGGATGTTTGTTTTCGCAATGGTCATGATCCCACACACACACTCGGGGTACGTGACGGAAGGGTTCGCGAAAGGGTTGTGTGTAATTTGGTGAAACGCGGCAGCATTTGCCGGTAATGGATGATTGAATTACACGTGTACACCTATTGGCAGTCCCCCAGGGACGTGGTAAACGTTTTGGCCGGTTACAATACTGGCCGCAGTTTGCCTCCGGCAACGGTATCGCAATCGAAAACGCTCTTGGGAATGACAATTGGCAAAACAAACCGAAAACGCACAATTTATTAACATCACGGACCGCGTAACCCTTAAACAAATATACCGTGTGTAACGGACGGCCATCGAATGTTAAATCCTTTGTACAACGCAGCAACAACAATTCGCATTTACCTTTTGCTTTTGCATCGGCATCAGACGCGGTTAACACTCCTCGCACATATGGGTTTTCCTATTCCTCCCACTGCCAGAAATGCAAAGACATGTTAGTTTTGCCCTTAAGTGAAAACCATTGGATAGTGAATATGTCTCACGGTACCCGTCTCTCGCTCAGCCCTCGTTCTCTTATCGATTATCTCCGCTCCTTAGCCGTAAGACGTTGATTCGTGTCAAAGTAACTAATGTGGTTTTTGCTGTGTGCGTTTCAGGAGCCTCACGGCGGCGGCATTCTAGAACGATGGAACATCTGTAGTCCGGAAGAGGAGCCGCTCGTTCTGCAACAATTTTTGCGGTTCGGCGAGACCAGAGCGGTGACTCAGCAACTGCTTTTGCACGGTCTGGGTGCCGATTTCCGGGCGCTGCCTGGCTTGGAGACCGACATGAAGAGGTTGATGGAACGCCAAAAGCTGCAGCACAATCACGACCAGAAGCCGCCCAGTTTCGAACCGAAGTTCCGGCCCAGGTCACCGTCGGCGCTGTTGCCGCCACAACGTCTGCCGTCCGCCCTGGGCAGTTCGCCTCCGTCGCCGCCAAAATCCACTTTCGGATTCGCCAAGCCGCCGGGCGCCGTCCTCCCCGTCCCTCCAGTAGTCATCAACACCAACGGCGGCGGCTCTCCGCCGAACACCAGCCCCACCAGCGTGTCGCCGCTGAACAAGTTGCAGAACATGCAACCGTTCGATTTCCGGAAAATGCAGTCGGCCGGATTCGCGGCCGGCGGCAAATCCGAGAGGAGAAACTCGGACCTGTTGCCGCCACCACCGAGACCCAACCAAAACGATTACAACAACAGCGGCAAGTACGCCGCCCAGTCGGACAGTCTGGCCGGAAGCAGCGAGTTCGGGTCCGAAGACGGCGACGAAGAGGAAGAGAACTCTCAGAGCGCGTTGAACCTGAGCAAGGACAACAGCAACAAATCGACGAGGCCGCACAGGGGCCACTTGCGCAAGACGTCGTTGCCGCTGAAACGGCAGTGGGGTTCCAGCGGTCTGCCGTTGAACCTGGGCACTCAGCTCATCAACCCGGCCACCGGCAAAAAGCGAGTGCAGTGCAACGTGTGTCTCAAGACTTTCTGCGACAAAGGCGCGCTCAAGATACACTTCTCGGCCGTGCACTTGCGCGAAATGCATAAGTGCACCGTCGATGGCTGCAACATGATGTTCAGCTCGAGACGGTCCAGGAACCGGCACAGCGCCAACCCTAACCCGAAACTGCATTCGCCTCACTTGCGCCGCAAGATATCACCGCACGACGGCCGCAGCTCGCAGGCCCACCATCCCATAGTCATTTCACCGTTGCAGGCGTCCGCCATGAACCAGCTGGCGTTCGGCGCGTTCCCCATGCTGGCCGGCGGTGGTGCCGATTTGCGCGCCGCCGGTTCCAAACAGAGTTCGTCGTCCGGACTGCACTTGGCCGACGAGCTGCGCAGATCGGCCGACTTCTCGTCGGACAACATGGACGAGTACATGGACGACGAGGAGGACGGCATAGTGGTGGACGGCACGACGGTAGACGACGATGACGACTCGGAGCACCGGAGCGACCGGAGCAAGAGAATGTCGGAAGATTCTGAAGACGACGGGGCCAGCACGACCGAGCCGCCGAACAACAACAACGACAGGCCGCCGATAGTGACGAAAAACGTGCACAAACGCAAGAGCCAAAATCCGACGAGGTTCGCCGCGGCCGCCGATCTCAGCGACGAGGGCATGTCGTGCACGGACGACGGTTCGGCCCCGTCGCCCAAGGACAATAACAACGAAGAGGACGTCAAGCCGGTGGTGGCCGAAGGTGAGTGTCTGAACCTGAGCAGGAAACGGTCGGCCAGCCCGGCAGACGGCCGTTTGCGTTCGGCCGACTCGCGGGACTCGCTCTTGTCGGACGCTGACAACGACGAGGACGACGACGGCGAAGACGACGAGTGCGGTTCAGACAGCGACGGCCACGTATACGGCGTGTTCGAAAACGGCCGTTTTGTCGAGACCGAAGAAGTGCCCGTTGACAAGGACGACCCGCGCAAGTGCACGGCCTGCGGCAAAACGTTCCCTAACCATTTCGGCGTCAAGACCCATTACCAGAACGTACACCTGAAGCTCATGCACAAATGCGTAGTGGACGGATGTAACGCGGCGTTCCCGTCCAAGCGGAGCCGGGACCGGCACAGTTCGAACCTGAACCTGCACCGAAAGCTATTATCCACGTCGCCGACGGCGGCCGACCAACAACAGCCACAGCCACAGCTCCAACTACAACAGCAACAACAACTCGGCCACCAGCCGCCGGCGACGACCGCGGCGGCTGTGGCGGCCGCCGCGGCCGACAACCCGTACGGCATGCACGCCGAATTCTTGGCCCGGCTGTACGCGGACACGCAACAGTTCCAAGCGTTCTCCAACGGCGGCATGATGTTGCCGCAGTTCGGCCCGTTCCGGCACCAGGCCGGCGCACCGGCCATGACCAACGGCTGGCTGGTGTACTCGGCCGACGAAGACCTGCCGGCCGCGCCCGACAAGGACAGCGGCATGTACTCGTGCCGGTTCTGCAGCAAAGCGTTCCCCGACAAGAACGGCATGCGCGAACACTACGAACAGCTGCACATGCACGAGATGCACCGGTGCAAAGTGCAAGGGTGCGGCATGGTGTTCAGCTCGAGGACACGGAGGAACGCGCACGCCGAAAATCACCCGCCCGTCACCGCGTCGTGACCTCGACAGTTGCCCGTGCCGCCCCCGTGGTGGTGGTAAAGCGACGATAATACACCAACAACAACAAGCCTAAACTACAGACCGCGGTGTGATTTATATTAAATCTTTTTAAGTATAAAAAATACAAATTCACAGAAAGAGAAAGAAATAAAAACATTTGGCCCTTATATGAAATAAAATATACAAATTTGGTGCTTGAAAATAAAAACAAACTATCTATATATAAACATACAAAACTTGACTTATACATGAGTTATGTCGTTTTAACGCGATAACGAGATCGAGTTGCTTAAATACCTAATCTCGAATAAAAAGAAAAAACGATATTATAATCGTAAAAAAAAAAAAATGATGCATATTATATTATTACATATACATATGTGTGTATAATTATATAAAAATATCTAATCAGATTTTTGAAATTTTTCCGAATCGAATACGTATACGACATGAATGTGATTCATTTTTTATTTATTTAAATACAATTTTTTTGTTAATATATTATTATTATTATTATTATTGTGGCTGTACTTAAATTACAATATGTTTAAAAAAAACAAAAAAAAAACACAAAAAGTGGTATCTTATAGTGTGACGTTTAGAGCCTATAATAGTTTTAAAAAAATACATTATTATTTGTACATTTTATTGCATTAAATTATATAGGTTGTGTTTTTATTATTATTATTGTATACATTATGATAATTATTATATAAATAATTTTTTTTTTTAGCGAAATCTCTTGTAAATAACGGTTAGACTTATTACTACATACATATTGTACCTAATACGTTTTATTGGACATTATTACTATATTATTATTATTATTATTATTATTATTGTATCGCAATACATATATAGTGAGTTTTAAAAATAGGTACATAACAATACAATTTATGTATTAACGGTTCGTTTTTACGTGTACTCGTGGGTGTAGATAAAATAACATATTATGATAATAATATAAACGATATGATTTATAAAGTAGCGCCCGAGGGCTGACTCAATCAAAAGAAATCAACTTTGATCTATAATAAATTTGAAAATATTTACTAGTCCTTATCTTATAGTGTGTATTTTGTAGAACGACAATTTTCGCGCATCGTTGTATAATAATACTGTTAACGATATTAAAATATAAAAACATTATTATTATTATTATCATCATCATATTATATATTATATAAATATATATGTGTGTACGCATATATTATTGTGTATATTGTATTGATTTAATATAAGCGACTATTAGCCTATTATACATACCGTTGTTTTGTGTGTTTTTTTTTCTTATTAATTTTTTTAATAAGACCTATCCCGATACAATCATTACCATAATATATAGTTTGCAGATTATTTGACCGTCATATACAACAGCTTGAAATTGCCAAAACGTGTCGTCCAGTCGTGATTAGCAAATCACATCGATTGAGATTGGCGTTGTGCATAATAAATAATAATAATAATAATATATACAATTATCCGGTTTTGGTCGGACCGGACATGTTATTAGGTATCCATTATTGTCCATGTAGGCGACCTTGCGCGGTTTTTTTTAAGATTTTAGCTCTCATATATACCTTTCCAGTCCAAGACCAGCAATTAACACCGTTAATGAGGTTGGAATTAAATTAACTTTTCAAATTCAACTGCAGTTCGCTTGATACAACACAGTTCTATTTCGAAGGGGTTTCCTATAGGCAATCGTTCACAGCAAAATGTGTTCGAAGCCCAAGTTTTACAAAAAAAATTTAATTAATTGTCGAGCTGTGTGTTTTGATTTTTTTATAATATGTTTTGTTGTATTAACGTTGTTTTCAGTGGCAATCTTCTATTGTTTTTTTTATTTAAAATCGGTATCTTTGTTTAATTAGCGTTGTTTTGTTTACTATATTGAACACTGTGTTACACTTAATACAGCGTGACGAGTTGTGTAAAAATTAATAATAATAATTACCTGCGCACTCTATACGTACGGCGTAATTAAACTTGGTGTAGGTATAAGACTTAAGAACATATTATTATATTTAAACTCATTCATTGTACAAGTTCAATCAATGTGTCTATATATTATACAGCCGTTAACGTCGAGGGATCTTTCAATAGTAAAACAATGTTTCCCAAAAAAAAATACATTTAACTTTGTAATCCGGGTTCACCGGCCACCTTTCCTGTATATTTTGGAAATTATAACTTTGAGTACACTTCTATACCATTTTACGAGGGTACTTTGTGGGTAGTTGATTTTTTTAGCTACACATTTTTAGTAGAACCGTTTTTTTATATAAAGCACCGTGTTATAGTCGTCTAGTCGATATTTGTATTCTTGCGGGTTAGAATATTATTATCATTGTTGCTGTTGTTGTTATTATTACTATTACTGTTGCACGTATAAAATGTGAGCAAGAGTAGTGCCTCCGACCATATTGTACTACATTGCCAAAGAGAATGCGCATTCTTTGTAATTTGTTTTCTTATGTTAATGTCTTTTCGAGCTTTAATTGTGTGCTCGCGTTATGGCGTCTAATGATACACCTACCGTTTATTGCGATGAAAGCTACCGCCACTTGTGCACACGTTACAATAATAATATAAATTGTAATGTATACAATACACCCATCAAGCATACCGGCTATATTGTTGTCTATGCTCATCCCATATCACATATATATGTGTTGTACAATATAATATAAACTGTGTCCGCATAACGTGAAGATAATTGCGCGTGTAAAAATATACTCACCTCCACCGACAATACATCACAGAATTATTATGTATTTTTATGACTGTTTTTATTTTTTAAATATTTTTTTTTTTATCTCTTACCGCCTAGTGTACACAATATGATGCATTCTTCTCGTTATGGATGTATAACATTACTATTGTTATTGCATACCACTTCCAACGGCCACTATACGAACCGCTAGGGGCTTCACAACTCATACTATGTAACCATCCACTACTAGTTACTACTACTACTACTAGCGACGGATTAGTCTATTAAAAAAAGCAGCCCCCGACCTTGTGTGGTAAACGCGGTTAACCAACCAAGAAAATATCATTAACCTATCCCAAAGGGATAAAAACAGTCTGGACTTGTTTACAATCCGTTATCCGACCTTGTTACTGCTACAGCAGCTACTAGTCCATATCTTGCTACTACTACAGCTATCTCTCGGGCTATACTTGTCCGTCTTAAGTTCCCGACCGTTCCCGTTTAAGTGCCAGAAATAAATTAGGCAGCACACAAGTAAAAGTATTTTATATTATATACGATATGATATTGCATTTACAAGCTAAGTCGGCACATCATTGGCTCTTCCATGATATTATTACACATCGTTGTGGTATCAGATAGTATTAAAATAATTATTATACCTGTCGATTGAACTGGAACAAACTTTAAGCGCAAAACTTACACACGAGTAATAATATTATGACTTTTGTTTCCCAAAGTGACGTTAGGAGGGTGTACTACACTGGGTTAGGTGCTATAATATATGACGCACAAAATGCAATTTTAAGAACAGAAGAGTTAAGTCGAGTTTTTTCGCTAGTCTAAGGAGAAAAGTGGAAAAATAGCTTAATATGTTTAGATTCATCTAGAAGAGCATAATGTGTAATGAAAATTAAAAGAAAAGGTCAAGCAAAAATCAATAAGTCAAATATTTTTCTTAATGATTTAATATAATTTGAGAGGGGGAATCAAAATAAGATTATTGACATCAATAATGATTATTTCACTTTGGTATTGCTTTGCTTAATCAAAATATTTATATTAATATCTACTTAATATTATATTCAACCGACTTTATCGTTATGTAAGACTAAAGGCAACAAACGAAAGTGTTTGAGGCCATTAGTAATATAATAATTAAATAGATATGATAAATATATGATTATAAGCAATAAGACTTTAGAAACTGTGTAACACTTACATTATTTAAAATTTAACTAACATAATATAATAAATATAAAAAAATGTCAAAATGTTTTAGTTTCCATGTACTCATTTACTAGATTTATTTAACAAGGTCTAAAAAGGATGGTAATGTTTTAAAATTTTTATCTTTAGATCAATGTTTATTTAGTATTGTTAAGCCTTACTCGAGGTTATGAGTACACCAAATTCACACTATTATAAAAAATGTCCTTACTGTAATATGGGTTACATGTATTAATTATTATTAATGTAATTATACAGCGAAATGTGTAGGACTGTAACCAAATCAGTAGTATTGTTTATAATTGACTGCCACAACTAACTTAAACCAACAATAACAATATCAACGGCTAGGTTATTTCTTAAACCGTGGAAAATAAAATTGTTTTTAAAATTTCAACAGGGCTAATATACTTACAACAATTAATAAGAATAAACATGAATACGCTTAGAAATCGAGCGAAAAGTCCTCAATGGTTTTCTTATGTTAGAATAAAATGGAAAAAAAAAGTTGCTTATAAAATCAGAAGAAAAAATACTATTATATTGTTCAGTTAATATTAGGTTTTTTGTACGCCGGTTTTGTACTTGAACAATAACAGGGTCGTCAGCCGTCGTACCTCGAAGGAAGGAGCTCGGGAAGAGAGCTGAACCCTTCAAAACATATTATACACACATAGTTGTGCTTCTCACTCAAACCATATAGTAATAATTACTATGTGTCATACTGCACTATAAAGTCGTATAGTTTAATGTTTTTTTTTCTTCTTAAATACCTATCTGAATACCGAGCCGGCCGGTATCGCGCAGTCAAGTTAACATTATACGGTGTTATCTGTTTCACATCATATATAATATAAAGTCTCTGCAGACCAGAGGGTGATATACAACGCCGTCGAGGGGACGGGCGAGAGGTCATCCGTTTGTCCACGGGTGCACACAGCACATAGTGTTATTATTGTTATTATGGATGACCGCCATAAATCATAGACCGCACAGTCTCGTGTCTTCTTTTTCTCCACGGGGACAGCCGCACAATCTCGTTTGTACCGTCTTGCCCGGTTCTCCGCTTACCAACAGACCGAGGGGGTGCGATTAAAAATTGACAAATCCCGAAGACGGCAATAACTCAAAAACCGAAATCCTATTAACTCGATACGCCACCACCGTCTTCCCCTCGCGGGGTAGTCATCGTGTGTTAATTTAATTACTTAAAGTACGTATACATAGCGCGTGTACCACATAATACAACGGGCGTGTGACGGTGACTGTGCGACGGACGACGCACACACATGCCGGTGGGTTTTTTTAAAATGTTTTTTTTAATACGTACAAACGACCTGACAGCGCTGGCGGTACTACGGTAAAAAACCAAAAAAAAAATACTTTATTTATTATTTAGAGGAGAAAAAAATAGCGAAATAAACTGTCAAACGCACCGCCGCCGCCACACCGTCGTCACTTTACATTTATAATAACGCACGGTGTGTGTATACTTAGGGAAGGGTTTGCACTCCATTTACTTTGTCAAAAACGCCAAGCGAGGGCCCGCGTTTAATTTATGCGGATCACAAACAAAGTGGTACGGTTGTCGGTTCGACGCCGAGCCGAGCGGTTAAACGACACACGATTAATGGAAACTCTTAGGACCGCGTAAACGCCGTGGCATTAGGTAAGGAGGGGGGGGGGGAGGGGGGTGCCGTCGGTTTAAGTATAAAAAAACACAAAAAAAAAAAAAACTCGTATTTCGCCGTCAAACAACACTGCATAAACGCACCACCCTCGGCGCGCCGCCAAAGGTCGTCTGCGAAAATTGAATTATTGTTGCTTTTAAAATCTCTGCACTTTCCAAACAAAGTGGAGATCCCTCCGAAACCGCGTTGCCGCGCTCTCGGCTAAATGATTATATAAAAAAAAAAAAAAAAAATTGTTCACCTCGTAAGTTTCATATTAAAAAACAAACGCGTCGACCGGACGGGACCGCGCACCAGGTATAGGTCCCGTAGCGACATATATTACTGTTGGGTCATTCCGTGCCAACTCACATAACGTGTGGAATTTCTAAATGTCTCAAGACTTAATCACATGGTTCCATAGAATCGGAAAAGTTTAAAAAATGTTTTTTTTGGACTTTTACGACACATGTTTAACATTTAAACATATGTCAAACATTTAAACATTTAAACATTTAAAATGTTACAAATGTCATTACATTTTTATACTAATTCAAGACCAAAGTTCAGTTTTTTAATTTTTTAATTTTTTTAATTTGGACACATCACATTACACCCTTTTTTGTTATTAT